GATCTATATATATATTTAAATTAACATATAATACTTTTTATTAATGTACATTAATTTAAATTAATATAATGAAGTAGTAGATGATTTTTAAATTTTGGAAAAATTTGTAAACTTATTTATTTATCAAGAATAATATTTAATTTTAAGATTGAATGTTAAAATTAAAGATGAGTCATGAATTATCGAATGAAATAACTCTATTAAGTATATTCTTATAATACATACACATATATATAAAGAAATTTACTTAGTTTAAGAGAAAGTTTAAGCAAAGTTACTCCATTTAATATAAATTTATATAATGAAATATTATATGATTTTTATTTTCTAAAAATTTTGTAAATTGATCTATATATTAAACATTTAATTCAGTGATTAAATTATTAAAAATTGATGTAGAATATAAATTATTTAGTAGAGTAAATTTACCAAGTCACTCATATATATATATATATATATATATGTTTTTTTTATCTTAAAAATAACAATTTTTTTCACACTCTCTCTTATATATATAAGAAAAGTAAGATTGAACCTCAAATTTAAATTAATAAATGTGAAAAACCTTAATCAAGTGTGCTATTTTTGTGGACAGAGGAATAGTTCACATTTAGATTCTAATAGTAGAATCTTAATTTCAATTCTTCCACTATTCTGCATATTTAATAACTTTGAATATATGTTTTAAGATAATTGTAATTATAATTTGGTAACACACTAGTACAGAATAGTAAATTTACGTCGATTATTTTTAGGGATTTTACGTCAGAAAAACTTCTGACGTAGAAGTGGGAGACGTAAATTTACGTCGACCGTAAAAAACTGACGTAAATTTACGTCGGACATGACAAGTCCGACGTAAAAAGTTGCAAAAATTTAAAAAAAAAAATAGAAAAACGACTGCAAGCAGAACGACCCGTTCTGCAACCCGGACTTGGCTTTTCTTCTGGTTTTTCCTCTGGCTTCTCTTATCTTCTCTTCTGGTTGTTCCTACTCAAAATATAAAAAGGAACATACATAATAAGTACAAAATACACATTTAGGATAACACTATCAGCAAGAAAAAAAGTTTTACTAGGAAATCACAATGTCAACAGAAAGTTTTGCTTCCTCACCCATTTGCATATGAATGGAGACTG